GTCGAAGAAACTGGCAGGCTCATCAAGACGCGAATTGCCGAACACGCGGCAGCAGTGCAACGACATGATGCCAATTCTCAAGTCGCGCCTCATTCGACGAGACCCGGCCACACATTCAAATTTGATGAGGCCGAAATTCTCGCTATTTGACGAGACCCGGCCACACGTTCAAATTTGATGAGGCCGAAATTCTCGCAAGAGGTGACAATCCGGTCATACATTCAAATTTGATGAGGCCGAAATTCTCGCAAGAGGTGACAATCGAGTGAGCCGAGAATTGCTTGAGTCATGGTTAACGGAGCCCCAATCCATCAACAAATGCAACGACTTACCCAATCCACATTCGGCCGACAGTTACCTGACTTTTGTGCATTACCAATACGATTGACGATGGGGGCTGGGAAACCCATTTCGAAAATGTACTTAGTAATTGACCCAAGTGTGTGATTAAATCCACGGCGCCCGGTGCGAGGGGGGGCGGAGCACCTCGTACCTCAATTGGCTGTATTAAAGCCTTCCCCGTGGTGGCCTGGGTCCGAATCCCACCGGGGCCACCTAATTTTTCACTTGCGGGGTCCAGATGAGCTACATAATAAGCCCTGTTGCTTCCCCCAAAGGACTTGATGCTTCCTTTTGTCTAAGATTTGCTCACAAACATAAAAGTAGGGGAGAGGGGGAATTTATGCCTCCCCCGTACGGCCATGAAATAACAAATTAAATAAACAGTGCAAGGTAGTAGAGCAGGACAGGGCAGGAGAAGGACTCACTTCATAACTTTCATTAAAAGCAGAGATGGATGCCGAGACACCAAAGTCGGCCAGTTTAATGAGATAACCACGGGAGAGCTGGAGTACAGTCTCGGGCGGATAGGGCAGAATGCCCGGCTCAAAGGCGGCTGCAGCTGCGGTGGCGGAGGGAGAGTCATTGTCGTGGGCGTAGAGGGCAGAGGCACCCAGACCGCAGCCCGGTGCCGGTGTAATGAGGAGGTTGGCCGGTTTAATATCGCGGTGG